CCCAGTGCCACTGCCTGCCCTAAGTGCAGCCCCTGCCCAACCCCCAGCTGGAAAGAGCCTGGCACCTCCCCCTGCCCCAGCCTGCAGCAGTAGCCCACCCTCACCCTGTGCACAGATCAAGGGGCACATGCCCCCCATGGCTTCCCCAAGGGTGTGTGTAGCAGCGGGATCCCTACTCGCCCCATGCTTCCCAGATGAGCTATGCAGCTCCATCTCATACCCCACCCACACCTTCATCCCCTGCCCCTATCCCAGTCCAACTTCCTTCCTCACTACAGGGACCTCAATCTGCCCCACCACGTCACTTCCCTCCCCCACACCCCTTCTCCCCCAACACACTTATCACACTGTCCAAGCTGCTTGGCTAGCCACATGCATGCAGCATTTATCGGAGACAATGACAGCCACATCAGCCAAAAAAAGCTGATTGCTGATAATGTCAAGTTTCTTTTTTTTGGTGCTGATATTATATGGACCGATGTATTGGTGCACCCCTATTTTTTTCGTTTGTTTTTTTTAATTAAGGGCTCATTCATACAAAAGCACTGCTATAAGACCTGTCTTTCAGAATCAAATCCTTGGAGCTGTTGCACGCATTCATGCTTTTATAGATTTTATTTGAATTAATCAACTTTGTTGTTTCAGGGCTATTTGTTAAATGTAAGGGTGCAAAAAAGATGGTTCTGTTTGCTCTTCTGGAGTGATAGCACATTTTGACTGAGCAGCCTTCTGCTTTTTATGACCAAGCCACAAGCACAAGTTATGATTCAAAATACAGGAAATGTAATGGAGATAAACATACACTGTTATATAGTTCCATATCATTAAGTAATATACCTACATTTACAAAAATAAATACATTTATAGATAGAATGTACTCTGCAGTTAGGTGGGTCTTTTGAAGAACAGTTTAATAACTAACCTTTTCTTGCTAAGTTTGAACATTAAAATCCTCTAGTGCTACCTATGATTCTAATATTTGAGAGAAGCTGCTCAAAAAAAAAAAATAATTGGACCCTTCAGTGTGTGTGTGTGTATATATATATATCTGAGAGAGAGAGAGAGAGAGAGAGACAAACCCCTTTGACTCTAGGATAATTACTACTGTAAAGTATAAATACATGTGACATACAGGCAGTACTGGTCCAGATCATTCAGATGATATTGTGACATTATTATGAAGTAAATTGATCTGTCTGGCACAGTATCACTGACCTCTGTCACAGGATAGGAGCCTCAAGGGTGGCCGTGTTCTCCTAAAGCCCCTTGACTGTGCCAATTTGGCCTGCTGGGCACCCTCAGTTCTCACCTGCCACAGCTTTGATGGAAATATAAAAATAGGGAGGCTGCCTTTATGTCCTCTTGGACACAGTTTGTTGGACTCTCTGAACCCCATGGGTTCCTGGACTCTTTGTGGGTCCTGTTTCACTATGGGTGTTTCGGGGGGGCACCCTAGCCTTATGGGCTATATGCATGGCTCCAACCGCCCCTTTACCATGCCCCAAGCCTTGCAGATGGTACCAGCGTTGTATTGCCTAGGCCTTGTTATAATTCGGCCCCTTGTCCTCACTAAGCTCTCTGCAGCCCTTGTTGCTGTGCCCCTCAGTGCTGGGCTCTCCTCAGCCCTTGTCACTGTGCCCCTCGGCGCTGAGCTCTCCGCCCCCAAATGCCATGCCTGCTCTGGTGCCGGGGTCCCCATGCTGCAGTGGGCCCCCAATGAGGCCGCCTCCTTCCCCAAATAGCTTCACCCAAACCACCAGTGTTATGGAACAACAAACAAAACACAAGCCCCTGGGCTATAACATAATACAAAAGACAAGGGTGTGCTCAGTCCCTTTAAAAGCATTGAACTGCATCCCTGGCACTAAGTATCTAGTGAGCAAGGGTACCTGTGGAGCTCGTGCAGCCCCATTAGCCTCAGGTGCAGCACATTAGGCCATTGCTGCATCACTGGGCACTTCCTCCCTAGAGGCTCCTTCCCCTCTGACTGCCAGCAGGGAACTGAACTGCCAGGCCCCAGCCCTAGGGTTTATATGGGCTTAGGGCCCTGCCTTTTCTGGCCAGCTAACCAGGTGCAGATGTGGCCAATTCCCTCATTAACCAGTTGTCATGGCAACCTGCACCTGGGCTCTTATCTGGCCCTTCGTGTTCCCTCCCTGGACAATCTCTGCTCTAATAGGAGCAGGCACCTTAGTGCCCTGTGACAACCTCAAATGATGCCAAAGATATCTGGGCTTTTTTTCTCAGTATTGGCCAGTGGACTATCACTAGAACATTTGGATTGTTTCTTTTTGGTTACCAGCAGAAAAGGAACTGAGATCATTAATTTATAATCAGCTTTCCTCTGAGATGGCCTATAGTCTAGTTCTTTTAGCTGTTACTACCTGAAACTTCAGCGCTACAGGTGAAGAAGAGTTTCAGTTCACTTTCCAACCATTTGATCTGACTGGCACAAATTCAGTCCTTACTGGTTTGTAATAAGTTCTTAGTTTTTTGGATACCAATATTGCCCCCTTGTAAAACTGAACAGTTCATACTTAAAGCTTTTATCTTGCATTCCAAGCTCTACTTTATCAGCACATCTCTTTAAATGTTAACACATTTGTCCTCTTGAAATTTTAATTTATGGGTTATAAAATGACCTCTGTCACCTGAAATACTGACAATTGTGGTATACCTAAACGTTTTCCTAGTGTGTCTTTCCATCAAGTCATTATTTTTTACAGTATCTCATGCATTGGAAGTGTTTACCTAAACACAAGATATTGAGAAAGGAGATTTGTCTATCCTTAGATGTTTTGAATGTGAATGAGTACAAAGTCTCACGCTGGTGCCTTTCTTGAACCATTTATGTCTGGAATCACTTTACTCCCAGGGCTATAGCATGTGAGAAGTCCTCTTTCATATATTAGATGGAGTAAAAGAACCCCATGGTTTTAGCCTTGAGAATTATTACAATTGGCTCTGATAGGGGAATAGAGAATGCTTATCTTGATATAGGAGTCTCTTTCAAAGTGAATAAAACACAGTGAAGTAAAGCACAAAGCCCATTCTGTTTCACTGGAAGCAACTGGAGATCATCATCACTCATTCCTGGTCTACTGCATTGACTGATAGCACCAATAATACCAGTGCATACTGCACGCACATTTTCCCCAAAGATTAACCGTCCAAAATTGGGGTGCACGTCTTAAGCAGGGAAGCTGATTTTCTGCCCAAAATGGAAGCATGTAGATGCTATAAGATGGCTACTTTTTAATGGTGTTGATAATCAAGCTATCCTTTCTTCAGTATTGTTTTCTCTTTGTTAGCTAGTAGTTTCTCTCCTACTTTACCACCCTGCAAACTATTTCAGCTTTTTTCAAAATCTTAGACCCACCTGTGGTGTCCAGTCTTCAGCAATAGCTACTGTTTCAACTTTTGGCTAAGTACTCATTAGCTGCTGACAGTACATCCGTGGAAGGGTTAAACCTGTAGCTTTTTAATTTGTCTGAACAGGTAAAGGAGAGTGAGTGAGCTGAAGATTAGGCCCTGTCCCTGCTCTATATAGCCATAACTCTGCAATTTGTCTTTCTTCATTTTGTCTTCCCAAATACAATGTGTGTTTTATTTGGAAGCATGTGGTATGTGAGACACTTTAAACTTCTTAAAATTCTCTGAAATGTAAGACCATTATAGAGAAGTGTTTTCCTATGTGCTTATTCAGCACAAACACTTCCTTCTTAGTATGTCAATGAGCAATGATCCAGCTTTTCAGTTTGCTGCATAAAAACACAGATTTTCTTATTGAAAGGAGAAAATCTATGGGGGGCAGGGGTTGGAGGGCCAGGGCTTGGGGACTGTCCAGAAGGCTGTGTAGGGCATGTGTTTGTGTGTGTGGGAGCCAGGGGTGTGTGGAGGGGATGTGTGTGTGAAGGTAGGGGGAAGGTGTCCTGCTGCTGGGGTTGCGGTGGGGCAGGGGATCTGAGGCAGAACTTGGTGCCACTGGCAAGCCCAGCTCTTTGATGATACCAGTGAGGCCCAACCAGAGGTGCCTGCCCCTCCAGAGCAGGAAGGAGATGGTGGCAGGGGGGGAGTCAGGCATCTGGAGGCTTCCTCTGGCAGGGCTGGGGGGGCAGTGGGCTGCAGGTCAGGAGTGAGGGCAGGGGTGGGGGCTGCAAGTTGGGAGTGAGGGGCACCAGCGAGGTGAGAGGGGGCAGGGAACTGTGAGTTGGGAGTGAAAGGCATTGGCAGGGCTGGAGCACCTGTGGCTTGGGAATGAGGGACCCCAGTTGGGGGTGGGGGACTGTGGTTTGGGAGTGAGGGGCACTGGCAGGGTCAGGGGAGCTGCAGGTCAAGAGTAAGGGGCACTGGCAGGGATTGGGGGCTGCAGGTTGGGAGTGAGGGGCACCAGGTGGGACAGAGGACTGTGGGTCAGGAGTGAGGGGCAAGGGCAGGGGGCTGTAGGTTGAGAGTGAGGGACACCAGCAGGGACGGGGGGGCTACAGGTTCAGAGTGAGGAGCACCGACATGGCTGGGAGTGGCGGGGGACTGTGGCTTGGGAGTGAGGGACAATGGCATAAGCAGGGGCACGGCAACGGCATATCAGGGCTGCTCTGCACCACAAAGCAGTGGAGGGACAGCAGCAGCTGGAACCATGTCCTGGTGAGTGAAGTAGGCAGAGGGACCTCTGATTTTACATGATAAAAAAACAAATAAAATCAAACACCAAAATATATAGGTATTTAGAATGTATTTCATTAGGATGATTTGAGGCAATGGCAGGCTTCCAAATTGCTCTAAAATTGTAAATATATCAATAAAACGTTGTGTTCAACTGATATATATATATATATATATATAGCAGCGTTTCATTTTAATCATGGAAAAACACATTTTGAGAGATTCAGTCAGACAATCTGGGAATTTTTATCAGTTTTATTTGCAGTTTTTAAACAGAGAAAACTAGGGTCACTGCTGATGAGCAAATGAAAACTGTATTTACAATAATCTTTTGTGGCCTTGATATTGAAGCAATCATTGTGTGAAGAGTTAAGAGTAAAAACTACTGGGCCAAAAGCCACCTTCTGTAACACTAATACTAATCTGGAATAACACAGTGATTTCAGTTATCATCATTTAGATCAATACATTCACTATACATTAACTTTTATGTAACTAAGAATAGACTGTTCCCTGGTGTTATCTGTTGGCATTATAGAAAGTCTTGGAGGAGATTTAACTGTTAGAGCCAAGTAATTATATATAAATTAATGCTTAATATAGACAGTTCATTTATCTTTGCCATTTTCTTTTCATTACCTGTAGAAGGCATGTTGGTATCAGCAAATGAACCATTTGGTCATCAACCAGTGGACCATTTGGTTCCTATAATACTGCAGATTTGACCACTCTGAGGATATTACAGTTTCTTTTGTTTGTCCCCAAATTTTGTGACTACAGGTAGATGCAGTCTTATATGAATAAACACTCGTTTTTAAAGGTTCAACTTGAACACTTTGAGTCAGTTATGGCAAGTGGAAGGGGCTAGCTGAACTTTCTTACATTATCTTTAAAAAGTTGGTAATGCCATTTCTAAGTCTATTCCTGGAATGCTATTTTTTTCTTTGATGTTAGTATTGGATCACTGGTAAGACAATGGGTCTGCCAGTGAACAGAACCAACAAAGAAGTGCAATCACTTCAGGTGGCCAATTGTATGGGAGCAGGAAAATATTAAGAACTTAATTGAACAAACAATAAGAAAAATAATATATAAGGGTGAAAATGTATGTCTCCATCCTTAAGCTACTCCTCCCTTTTTCAGAACTTTCGGGTGAAGCAGTAAGTGTAGCTGCACAAATATAATTTTTCTACTGTAGTAATTGCCATATTTAAATAATTTGGCATGTCAAGTTCTAACTTTAGCATTATAAATTACATTAGTTTGTAGTGTATGAATTGCTATGCCTGTACATTTATTACAGTGAAGCACTAAAATTACCTGATGTTCTTAACTTTATTAATAACAAAAAAATACTCCCTTTTAACAAAAGGCTTTTTTATACAATATTTCTTTCTTTAGGGTGAAGATGGCTTTCCAGGATTTAAAGGTGACATGGGCCTTAAAGGTGACAGAGTAAGTATTTATATAGAAAAACACAGTGCTTAGAAAGAATAACTATTGTTATCATGAGAGGATTACGTCAAACTCATTTATAGTTAGTTTAAAAAATGAAGCAATCATTTTTACTCCTGGGTATGGACAAATTTAGGGCCAGAGTCTCAACTACTGTGAATCACTGCTAACAGTGGAACTATGCCAATGTTCTGGCCTTGGGCTTCAAATGATATTAACTCAGCAGTGCCACCAACAATGTAATTGTTTATCAAATCTGATTCATATTTTCCCAACTAAGCCAGGTAGCTCACGTTATACCAGATTAATCCTCCTTGGCCAGTTTTTGATTGGTATAAATCAACCAGTGTAATCCTAGTTCCTATACTTCTTCCCAATCCCTATCCAGGGAAGCCTGCTGACAGTAGCCCCTGAATAACTGGTTTATCCAATTGACTCAAATCTGCTGTGGAAAGGTATGCCACATAAGTACTGTTCTTCCATTGGACTACCATATCATGTTTATCAGAGTTTTAGGGGGGCAGGCAAATACAGATGGACAGCTTCCAACCAAGAATTGCCATAAGATTCAAGTTGTCAAGCTGGAATCTATGTACAAAACTTCTGAAAATACTAATTCTGGATAATGTAAATACATTATGTCCCTAAACATTAGTATTTTGTTTTATTTTCTTAATTTTCTTCTATGTTTGCTGAGATCTTGTGTTTTAATTTAATGTTTATTTTGTCAAGTTGGTGATGGGCAGTCCAGTTGTTTCATACAGTGCATATTGGCTAGAGCACTGTCAGTATCTCAGTACTGTATTTCTTCACATGCAATACACACCTTTTTTTCCAAAATTCAGCTACAGAAAATTGACATGATTGTTATAAGAGAGGAAATACAGTTCATAACAGTTTCTGCCTCTGCAGGGAGAAAGCAAAAGTAACTCTGCATAAGAAGCACAATAAGT